TGGCTGACTAAATACTTTTTTGCCCCACTGTAAAAGAAGAACTAATAATGAGGAAAAGGAAATAAAAAATTGAAATGATGCAGAGGAGACAAAAAATATACAGCATATATTTCTTTTTCCTTTTTTTTACATTTATCTTACATATTCTTTGGAAATATCCTCACAATTTCCCAATATTTAAAATGGCTTACAGTGTTATGGGGATGGAATGAGAGGAAATCCTAGCTAATCTCTATCAGAATTACTTCTAGTTGCTTTTGATTTCTGTGGAAGAGCATACGATTAAATATTTTATTTGAAAAATTAGATTTTCTAGTTTGGGCCAAATGGTGTCCATGAACAATTTCTCAATCAATCAATAATCAATTATAACAAATTTTGTTTTATATTTGTGTCTGTTTTTGCCCATCTTTTTTAGGATAATCGTTGTAATGAAATATCCAGTAATTGTTCTGAAACAGATAGTCTCCTGAAAGAAGAGCTAAGGTATTATTTTAATTGTAAATTGTTAAGGATTAAGTAAATCGATTATGAGTTATAAAAAATAAACCAATTATCCTACACTTATTTCTCTTAGACAAAAAATTAACTTTCAAGAAGCAGGAATTCAGAAACTTCAGGCAGAATATATGGCCTGTAAGCTAGGTCAAGATTTCTCTGAAGACGATGAGGGACAAGAATTGCACGGCCTAGAAACTGAACCAGTAAAACTCAGTGGAAATCAGACAGGTATGTATAATGGTTATATGACCTCAGTAGTAAAGACACTGTATTTCTGCAACATGCAGTTTAATCAGAAAGTAATTTGACTATAGCAAAGGTCTTCAATTTTCAGGTCACACATCTTTTGCTCTGAGAAAAACACTAGGTCTAACATGACTACACACCTGAGTAAGGCTGAGATAATTTGGGACAGGTATGTAGGTGGTTGCCATGGAGGCCATGAATCCCTGAGCTGCACTGAAGTTAAAGATGTGGAGGTTGAAATCTCCCAGTATTCAGTCTAGGAGACCCCATCACCAGCTCAGCAATGAGTTGCTCTAGTTTATCCCTGCAGTTTACATCATGTTCAGGCAGTCACATCCAAATATCAAAAGAGCAGTACAACTGGTCACAGTCAAGGTGTCATGCACAATCATGATTACAATCCCCCCCAGCCCTAGCATCATACCTGCTGATAGACCCAAAATATGGGAAAACGTCTGACAAGGCTACATTGTCACCACCCACCCAACCAGACTTAAGTAAAACATGGATAAGGACTTACTCTGGATGGAGATGGGATTTACCAATAAAGCTTGAGACCAAGGCTACTATGTTAGGCCTTCAGGCTAGGATTGGCCAAATAGCACCAAGTTGATTCTGTAATGACATGACCAGTCCCTACCATAATACTTCCCTCTGCCTATTCCCATGGAAATCTAGCCCCCTGCCAGCATACCCCCAACCACTTCCCAGTTTTCTCCCACAAACTCCTTCCCAGGTGCCACCTTGCCACATCACAGCAATGCCAAATTACTCCAGCCACACCAAGACTGAAAGGAGATTGCTGTCTGTAAGCACTCCAGCAGACCCCCATTGACTACCTTCAACCTCCTGTTTCTTCCTGGCTAACAATAAGAACAGAATACCAAATCCCCCCTCCCCCCGGAGTTCAGGATACTTCTTTTACTACAGTTCCTTCCATTTTTAGACCAAGCCCTGATCCTACTTTAGTCCATACTGAAGCTGGAGGAACTCACAGATTAGCTGTCTTTGTTTCCTGGAATCATAGGGAAATGTAAGCTGGTCAGTTAAGCTAGCCAGAACTATACTGTCTGATACTTATTTTACATTAGATTTACTATTAAAACTACTGTTTGCTGTGGGCCTGTAGTTTGAGGGCATGGAAAGTGTGTGTTAAGCTGTGGTTTACTTAGCCATTATTTATTGAATAAACCACAATTGGTTGGGTGTACACAACATTCGGAGCTATAAACTATGGTTTATAAACAACAGTGGTTGAGTTTACACAATGTGTTATTATCAATCCACTTTGGAGTTCAGCTTGATATATGAACCAACTCTGTACAAAAGAATTCCTTACCATGCTCACAGAACTATTTAATCAAAAGAGAAAATGGCTATTAAATCAGTTTAAATATATATGTATATTTAAACATATCTAAAACAGGATTTGCCCCACTATTAGGCAAGGTAAAATGCTGGCTTCAAGTGGGTTTAGATTATGTAATTTAGCAAACATTTTAGTTCTATGTTACTATATTTTTTACTACCACGTAAGAGGAGATTCTGCACCAAAATATTATGACTAACATATGCATCTAAACTAGCAGTGCAGATCTAAAAATGGGCTGTAACATTAACAATACTTAGATAAAAATGCATGGCTTTATAATATTGTACCTTCTAAATTTTTATAAATGTCAAATTATTGTCTCATTTTTAAAGGGACAAAATGCCAACAATTGGAACTTATTAGTAAACAGTTTGAAAAAGAGAAGCAAATGTTAATTAGACATTTAGAAGAGCTACGTATTAAGCTGGAAAGATCAGAAGAAGAGAGTGCTGCTTTAAAAAGCAACATTGCCCAGAGAACTAATCAGTTTCAAACAATACAGGAAGAGCTATTAGAGAAAGCTGCAAAATCATGTCACATGGAACGAGAAGTAAGTGGAAACAAAGAAGTCTATTCTTGAGAGCTATCTAGTTTAATTTTATTTTTATATGGAGCCTAGGATGTTCCAAGAACATACATTAATTCATATATAATAATATATTCTGGCTAGAATTAGCTTGTTGGTTGTGCTGAGATTTCCTTCATTATGGTTTCTTTCACAGTGATAATTCACATTGGTTTAAGATTATTCTCACAGCTGAACCAATAAACAGTTAAGGCCTTTTTGGATTATTTGTCAGTGTCCAAAGTGTATAATAGCCATTGTGGCATACTTCCACAGGCCTAAATCTAATGCAACAGTATATTCTGTCATCATATAGAACAGTGGATACCTATTTACTTCTTGTCCCAGGCATGACTGATATACTGTATGCTGTTTATTTTAACAAAAAAGCAAATGAGAAGTGACATAAGATTACTACATAGGTAAATGGGGTAAACCGTGAATATGAATGAGTTTATGCTTTGCAATATATGTACATACAGTGGGGCAAAAAAGTATTTAGTCAGCCACCAATTGTGCAAGTTCTCCCACTTAAAAAGATGAGAGAGGCCTGTAATTTTCATCATAGGTACTGCAAAATCATGTCACATGCTGCAAAATCATGTCACATGCTGCAAAATCATGTCACATGCTGCAAAATCATGTCACATGCTGCAAAATCATGTCACATGCTGCAAAATCATGTCACATGCTGCAAAATCATGTCACATGCTGCAAAATCATGTCACATGCTGCAAAATCATGTCACATGCTGCAAAATCATGTCACATGCTGCAAAATCATGTCACATGCTGCAAAATCATGTCACATGCTGCAAAATCATGTCACATGCTGCAAAATCATGTCACATGCTGCAAAATCATGTCACATGCTGCAAAATCATGTCACATGCTGCAAAATCATGTCACATGCTGCAAAATCATGTCACATGCTGCAAAATCATGTCACATGCTGCAAAATCATGTCACATGCTGCAAAATCATGTCACATGCTGCAAAATCATGTCACATGCTGCAAAATCATGTCACATGATTTTGTCTCTCATAGTTGAGGTATACCTATGATGAAAATTACAGGCCTCTCTCATCTTTTTAAGTGGGAGAACCTGCACAATTGGTGGCTGACTAAATACTTTTTTGCCCCACTGTATGTAATTCTTAAATACAGCTGATGTTGTTTGCCCTCACTGATGCCCTAAACCCTGAAAAATATATATACCGACATTGACATCCATTTTCAGGATGTGGAAGTTACATCCTGTAACTTGTTCATTTTGTTTACATATTCTTTGTAGATAGCAAGAAAATCCTCTCAGCTTTCCATCCTTGAAAAACAGTTGGAAGAAAAAACTTTTGCTTATGTAACTGCAGTTGCAAGAAATACTGAATTGGAACAGGAATTAATGGTAACAGCCCTTTCCTCTGTTTTCAGTATTTTGAAGTAGGAGATACATTAATCTGATGTTAAACAAATTGTGCTAATATGCTTTTTTATTCAGAACATATTTTAATGTAATTTTTAAAATGCAAATTATTTTTTATTAATTTCTGTATGGAAGTGTGTATATGATTTATTATATATATATGCTAATTTTCTAGCTGCACTTGTACAGTGAGATAGTAGCTACCAAGACATCTATATATTTTTTTCCCACTAGCTGTCAAATTGTAAAAAAACAAAAATATGGTTGTTTTTCTAGGCAATGAAGTCTCAGCTTCAAAGCATGGAAAGAAACATCAGTGAAGAACAAGAGCACTTCTCTGTATTGTTAGAAAAAGCAAAGTTAATTAACCATGAGCAACATAAGGAAATGGAAAAACAAATTGATTTAGTAAGACTCAAAATTGTGTAATATGAATTACTGAAGTTAAACTTTCTTCAGTTCCCAAATATTTTGGTGACTCTTGCACTTAGAAAAGGTATATCTCTGCCATGTTCTGTCTGGGCTTCATGACTATATGTAAACAGCTAACAGCACGGCCATCTGAAAAGTATATATTAAAATATTTGCATAGGAGCTACAGTGGGGCAAAAAAGTATTTAGTCAGCCACCAATTGTGCAAGTTCTCCCAC